TTTTAGCAAAACATCGTGATCAACCAACGATGGTCGATCAACTCGCTCTTCGTCTTTCAGTTACTCGTCTCCACTTCGACACTTCTGAAACCAGCGACAAACCGTTCGCTCCGCCGCAGTGCCTTCTCCCCACGTAACATTGATGTTTGTGGCTGCCTCCTTCGCAGTTCGACCAAGTTCGAACTCGTGAAGTAAAACCATTCAAAAAGTGGTCTCATCCATTCTGCCAAGAAAAACCTCCTAAAAATTCCAAAACCTTACAGATTCTGGGGAAAGCGCTATGACAGAAAGAGCAACTAATTACTTACTTAAGGAGCACAATATGACGATTAGTCTGTATGAACATCCGCCAAAATTTAATTCATATGGCACTACGTGGGAACGGCCAGAACTTTCCTTACAACCTAATACACATCACCAAGTGACCTCTATTAGTGATATCAATAAAAACAGTGTCAGTAGACTTCAAAGCATGTTTTTCACCCTTGTTAGCATGCGCCCACGTGGCTTTCACAATCTTCATAGTTCTTGCGTGACTTCCTACGGGCAGACGCCCAAACCGGCGTACAAATAGACTCACAAAGTTAGCGCTTCACATATAGAGTTAGTTGTTTATAGGTTTCTGGTCTTCACAGCCATTGACCCCATAAATATGGGGACAGTGGGCGAGATGCGAGCCTTGTGCGAAAAGTTGAAATGAATATTAAAATTGGTCCCCGAGTGCCTAATGTAAATTAGGTCGCAATTGTAAAAAGATCAACTTCAAGTTACGCTGGGATTGACGCATTTGAAGAGTTCATAACGCGTGTTAGCTATTTTCAGTACACTTTCACCTCATTTATAGTCATTTTGACAATTTGAAAGTCTGACAAAAATCTCAAAACCTAAAAAAAGCAAAATATCAGAAATCGAAAGAAACAGGAAGAAGAAAGAACGTTAGTATTCACTTAACGCAAATTACTAGGCTGTAACGAATCCGCTAATAGCTAATTTACGGAAGGGAACCATGTAACCAGGCATTTTGGTGTGCTTTAAATGCAATAGATCACCGCATGGGTCATGGAGCTAAGAGATTGCGGTCAATCGATGCCCTAACCTTTCCCTTTTTGCCGTTCTTTTGTCGCTCTGTGAGTTATTTTAAGCAGCTCTAGTCTCGATGGGTGTTCTAGGCGGCTTTTGAGCTATTATGGTCACTTATTTTGACTTCTCGCCGCAGTACGCTATGCGAAAGTCTAGCAAGGTTGACAAGTTATTGATAAAACTCCGGCCTCAGATGGGATTCGGACCCGCATTCGTGCTCTCCGAGCAATTATTGCCTCTAGCTAACTTTCTTTCACCGCTAGTAGTTAGTTCCCAGTATGCGTGAATGCATCGCCGTTTACCTGTGCTTTTGTGGGAGTAGTTGGTTCAAGTTGTGCATATACAATGATGTTTCAACCTAAATTAAAATCTGAAATTAGTGTTTATGAAGTCATGGATGCATTTTGGATCAGTTGAGCTTTTGGGCCTTTCTGTTTCGGCAACCGTAGTTCGATTTGCTTGCACACAAAGGGAAGCAGATGAACAATCAATGAATTACAACAGCATGCTGTGGAGAAAAAAACTAAGCCAGTAATAAAGAGTGCGTGAAACAATGTGTTTTAAACACATGGATCTCGGAGAACTATAGATTTTAACATTTTCGCAATGAAAGGGCAAAATGAGGTTATTTGCTCGATTGTAGCTCATTGTTATTGAAGTAGGTACGAAGTAAAACGTGGGGTAATTTGGGGACTACTTTTATTGAAATCTCCTTGATGGTTCTTACATTCATAAAGTCTTTTAAAGATATCAAAAACGGATAAGTTTAGTAAGAATGGCCAGTAAACGTAACTTACATTGTCATATGAACGATCCAGTTTCGCGTGATCGAAGTGTCCCTTCTTAGCCCTAGGGACGGATAAGATCATTTGTTGCTGTAATTGTAAGCGTACCTAGATCTTCACTCAGGAAAGGTATCACGTGTTAGTCTTCAATTCTTTTTTTGGAACTTGGCTCTTTTTATGGGTACCCTCGCTTTTCTTTCCCACGTTCGTAGACAGATGTCATTTTTTTGCATAGGTGCGGCACAGCTTTCAAGGGCACGAATATGGCGTCAAATTTCAAAGGTTTCATGAAGTCTCATCTCATAATTCTTATCTGTCATGATTACAGTGTGCGCTCAGCTGATTGAAGGCGCTAAGAAAGAGAACCTCGTCGTAAAAGGCCCTATTCGTCTTCCGACTAAAGTGCTGCGCATCACTACTCGCAAAACTCCATGTGGAGAAGGGTCAAAGACCTGGGATCGTTTCCAGGTAAGTTGGTCACCATTTCTCCACTTTCTTATGTGAAGAGTTCCCCTTCAGATGCGCATCCATAAGCGCCTCATTAACCTGCACACACCTGCTGATCTCTTACGCCAGATCACCTCCATCTCCATTGAGCCCGGAGTTAATGTTGAGGTCACTCAGGCCAACTAAGACGAGTTCTGAGGCAGAGGTGGACAGGACTGCAACTTGTTTGGCTGCCTTGTTCCTTGTTATCCGCCGTTGATACTGATTTGTTTGTGGTTTTCTCCGTGTATGTTTATCTGCATGAAGAAGAGTTGAAATTAATACATTTTGAGTTTAAATATTTCATGTGGTGTTCACAGATCACTCGTTTATCAGAAGCGTTTCAAGGGTAAAAAGTAGAACTGTAAAAGTCAATTCACTGAGGCGTTTCACGCTTGTCGTGGCACCATTTATCTCTGACAGTAATGTTGAGTCACTATTTTTGAAAGTAAACTGGCACGGTCAATTATTGACTATTGAACTTTTATTTTTATGGCAGGTTCCCGTGTTTGCTTTGTCTCTTTGGGTCAATAGTGAAAGGAAGAATTTGGTACAGGATCATAGGAGGATGCATTCGAGATATGGTGAATTTGGGTTGAAAGTTCATTTAAAAATCACTTCGTACTTTCACTTCGTTGCTTCTCTGGCTTATTCTAGGAATCGGTTCGCATAAGGTTAGTCAATTCTTCTCACTTTTGCCCTACCCAAAGGCCTCGCTATCAAATGCAGTAGCGCTCAAAAGTCTTCGGCCAAATGTTTTTTTTTCAGTCGTAACCCCATTCCGGTGAAAATGTAGTTGGGGGGTGCCAGCGCCCTTCCGTCTAGTTGCTCTGCGTCTCTGACCCAGGCGGCAGAGT